GTGGCCAATTTATTATTTCAACTTTGTTGATATATTGAAATTATTTCGTTACCCCCACCGACGCAGCCCCCAACAGGTTCTTTAGAAACTATCAGCCTTTATTCATTTTTCTATATAGTTGGCGCAGTGCATTGAGGGCTTTAATCTTTTTTTACAAAGACATGTAAAAAAAGTTAACGGTACAAAGCAATTCTCAGCTTTTTCGTCGTTACTGAAAGAACCCAGTTAAATGCAGCGCATGCGTAATAAGTAAAAAAATTGCGATTGAATGGAGAATTTCTTTCCCTGAAATATACCTATTTCTTGAGAACCACTCACTAGAATTTCACGAAATTTGGCACGAAAATACTTTAGAAAATAAGTAATTGGAGTATTGGAAAAATTAATTTTTAACAAAGGAAATTCTAGATAATCGAGTGAACCTTCAATAAGGAATAATTTATGATCTCTGTTAAATTGTTAGCAAAATGGTGTTAACTTGTGAGCATCGTTACAAGCTCGCTGCATGCAAATTATAACGAAAATCTAATGACTAGATTTTCTACAAATAAACAAAACCCATTTTAAAGGCCTGTTTATATTTATTCATGTCTCCATGGCAACGGCACATACGTCAGCTTAACTATCAAAAAAACAAAGTTTGTGTTGTTAACTTGCTTGCGGACAGTTTTGGCGACCGAGAGACAAAGGGTGTTAGAGAAAGTGGTGAAAGAAACACAGGTACCAAAAACTCTGTTCAGCCACCTAAATGGAAACGACTAATCTTAACTTTGTGTACTGCTACGAATAAATTACACAACTTTTTTGTGCTGGCACATTCCACACGCGGGCGAAAAAAATTGTTAGAAAGACAAACAACGACGCACAAAAGGAGAAACAAAGGAAAACTGAAGATGTTGAGGATTTAGCGTTTGGATCTTAAACCTGGTATAATGATTTAGCGTTTGGATCTTAAACCTGGTATAATGATTCTGGAGTTGAATGTTGATGTCATTCTTCGTATCACTATGTCCACACTCTTTCACGAATTTCCGGCCTTGGAAAGGTCAGTTTAAAGGTGAAAGGGTCTCTATCATTCTCGGTCCTTAGTATGAAGTACAGTATAGTTGAATCTCCAGTAAATAATCTTAAAATGAAAAGAAATCTACATAAAAACAGACAAACAACCAACAAAAAATGGCATAACAAGTCAAAACCCTGCGAGCCTTCAACCTGATCAAATATTTGTAAACGTTCTTTGCCTTACCTTCAGAGCTGGCCAAAAATCCCAAGATCAGCAGAGTAACTCGTTGCATCTGTAAGACAAGAATTCACAAAAATACAAATACTGTTAAAAGCCTATAAGGAATAAATCATGTAATCATGAATTAAAAATAACACCGAAATTATATCATGCTATCATGCCGTGGATAGAGTTACAAAGCACCTCGGTCATGCAATGAACATTTTGGATGCATTTTAAACGTTATCTTACTCAAGGTTTTATCGATTGAATATTGCAAGGAAAGATAAGATTCAGTGTTGGGACTTTATCCTTTATAATTTGAGGTTTTTAGCATTTGAGCCTTAAAATTATCAAGTTAATTAACTAAGGTTAATCATGTCCCATAGAAATTATATATTACGTGAAACATGTCAACATGAATTATCTAACCAGCTGGAAAATGTCTGCATTAGTTTTCCATAGATTTGCAATAGCGAGCCTATTAACCAGCTATACTTTGTGCTTTTCTATAGGGCTACACTTTCTGCTAAATTCGGGGTGGTTCGAATATTGATAGTTTCTGATACGAAACTGTATGTGCCTGTATTGTAGCCCTACCATATGAATTTTGGTTATAGTAATATAAACATAAACAAAAAACTCGACTTTTTGGTAACGATTTTAGCAATGAAAAGCCTGTATGATGATAAATAGAGAAAATATTTTTATTCTTTATATTTTTATTTTATTCATAGTTTTTTTTCCAAAAAACATGTTCACCCCTTTTCTGTTCGCTATTACGAAAGAAGTTCGGTTAAGTGTTTTCGGTTACCTGTCAACTTTACATTAAATTCATGCAGCCAGCTTTTCCCCACCTTTATTTTACTATTTCAATAATACCGAATAAACTATCAGTGACCCAAAGCTGAAATATAAATCAGAAGTTAACTAAGAGGGCTATTTTCAGCCGGTTGTAGACAACAGTATCTACAATAAAAACCGATGACTACTTTTTGGACTGATCACTTTGTTTGTAAGAGAGATTTTTATTCGCATTTCAGAGAGAGAGAGAGAGAGGGGGGGTGGAGAGAGAGAGAGAAAGAAGTAATTGTGAATTCAGCTGCTCGCACTTTATTGCCCTAGCTAAAATGGGCGAAATATTGAAACTATAAGCTCTGTAAACTGTTCGTTTATGACAGATTTTATGACAACACCTTTCACTCAACCTTTTGTCGGTTTTTACCGAGAGGCAGGTCTTTGTGATGTAAAAGAATTATCGGCTTATTGAACTAGAAACAGGCCGTTCAACTTAACGGATATTATAAATTATGATCAACTCTAACGAGCTAAATCTTTTGCCAAAGATTTGCGTTCATAAATGACTTGCAGCGAGGCAGTGGAAAATATATTTTGCCACAAAGGTAACAGAACACGCGATTTCTCGTTATTTGTTCTTTCATAATTTTTAAGATAACTCACGTTCGTGTTCTTCAACTGCTCTTTATACTTACCCTATAAACCTTTACCATGCTGGTAGAACTGAATTCATTGAGATACGTTTCCATATACTTGAGTGCGAGAATGTCTTTTATCTACCAAGGCTCACCAAACTACCACTTAGTCACACCTGTTTGCTCGCATAATACTCATTAAAAGTCCGATTCTTTTCTAAAAGCCTACCGCGTTTTTCCACCTGCAAATCAACATAATTTAGACACGTAACTTAATATTCGCTTCTCTGACAAACTTCAAAACTGAGTCGATTAAAGAAACAAAAATTGTTTTTCGAGGAACTGGGTCCAGGGTTTTGTCATTTTTGACATGATCAGAACAGGACCTGGCATAGCTCTTAAATTGTAGCTCGCTAGCTGTAAGAGGCCTTAAAAGTTGATTAAAATTTATCAATGTATTTGTAATTTAACTTACAACACCTGACACCAGGCACGTACCAAAACATATCAAAATGAAGACGATATTCAAAGTCGTAAGAGCCTCATTGGAAGGTAATCTTGTTTTTCATTTCAATGAAATACAATTTGTCTGCGCAATATTACAACAACAACAAAAAAAATGGAAATAGGGATTGTCGATCGTTTCCTTTTCAACTCTAGATCTTAAATATGTACTTGGAGACCTAATTACTACTACCCGTCAAACATGACATTCATTCAAGCTTGACTCTGCACATGTGATAATCCTTTGTGCCTCTCGATTGGAAATAAGAAATTTAATCTTTACATTTCTTCATTTAACTTGAGCAAACTCCGCGGCTGCGGCGCAATCGCAGTTGCTAAGAGAGAGCAAGTCATTAAACATGGTAAATAGGCGACATACGTAAACAAACAGAGCGGTAGATTTCAGTTACAGATATCATTTCCAAACATCTGTTGATGTTTCCCTTTAGTGCATGTTATGAATTTTCACTAAAAGTCAAGGAAATATTGGGAGTTTAAATTCCTACGCAGAAAGTTATACTGAGAAAAATGAGTTGATTTATAAATGTTCTTCATGCAGTATTTCTGTAAAGAACGTGACAAAGCCGAAGGAGAAGTTTTCTAAAATTCTTCCAAATTGAAAAATTCAACCCAGATTCATTAGTTTTCATTAATGACAAAACTGCTTCTTCACAAGTTAGGTGTACGTGTAATGTAAAGAAGGGCGGAATATTGTGTCTTCCTAACGGGTGGCTTTAAATTCCTTCTGGATGTTTAATAATCCATTTGTTCTTTTGTAAATACCTTATGGGGGACAGAGTTAATTGAGAGATTCTCTCAGGGATGATGATTTCGTGCTACTTAAGCTCGTTATTAACTGTCAAGTGACGAGTTTGAGTTACTCCTATCTTCTAAGGCCCTAAGAGCTGTTGCGTGTTGTAACAGTTGCCCCCTTGCCGGTCTAACTCGTAAAAACTAAGCAGGTGATACATTGGACAAAATTTGGGCCGTGTCGTCTCAGACAGGCGAGCCGAAGTTTTTACATGAGAAAAGCTTGCATGTCTCGCGTAACAGGGTTACCCTACCTACCTACCGAGGCTAGATACCTTGCTCTCTCGAGTTGTCTCGCTCCCCGAGACGAGTTTAACATTCTCGGCTTGGGTAACGCGGGTGGGAGGTTGTTTCGGGTGCGCGCAACCATTCAAATCGGCCCTAAAGCTCTTCTTAAAAGTACACATCGTCTCTGTTCGTAATTGAAAATTAGTGCGTGCGTCATCGTGCGTTCATCGTGACATGAAGCACGCGGTTTTGAGGGAACGAATGATGCGCTGAATGCTTCTTGCATGCTCTCTAAACCTCGTAAGTACCTCATATCTAGATTAAAGGACAGCTGACGCATGAACCAATAGTTTTAGAACATTGTACAAGGCGTTAGTTGAAATATTTCTTAAATAGAAATTCATCCTGTCTTGCTACAGTGCATCCAAAAACATCGTCAGCACGCAGATTAAGAATGTAAAGCACGCTTGCAAAATTGAATTTATTCTCACGAATTTACTGGCTCTGTAAGCTAAGTTAGCGAAACATCTATGAGAGAAGCCTGGAGATTGTGTTATAAACATGGCCGATTGAACGTAAAACAGCCACGCGTACCTAGTTTACAATTTAGTAGATAATCTTTGGTTCGTTTTTCAATCGCATATTTAATAGCTTAGAATTGTGGGGACTCCCCTCGCGAATCACGTTTGCTCTTGATTCTATTTGTCGAGCCTCACATAATGATTTCTTTCCGCCTATCATTTCAATAAATTACGTACGGTTTGATTGGAACATCTCGAAGTGGAAATGAAGAAAACGTGTTTCAGTTCTCTCATGTTCTCTCGTGTTTAAGTTTTCTTAATCCTATAGAATAATTTGTACCAGTCAGCTTCCCTCTGAACTAATTCTGTAAACCTTCTTCATAATTTGAAGAGCTGCATAAAAAAATGTCCAAATCAACAAATTTACACAGGAAACGCCGCAAATATGGAGAAGTGATGTTTAAGGAAATGGCTTATCATGTCGTGATGTTGATGATCAAGCGCAAAAAGCTTTTTTTGTGTGTTATCCTTGACAGATGATACAAAACAATTTTAGATTTGACATGTACATCAATTTATAGAAGGCAAGCCAATGAAATCAAAGGCTTTGGCTGAAGAAGCGATTTTGTCATGGTTATGCTAATAACTATACTAAAAGACTTAAACCACTGTGAAGAGAAAATCAGATATCACGCCATGTAATTTTGAATCTGATTGGTTAAAAGGTTCTGAAACTCTTCAAAACGAGTCATGGATCGAATTGAAACCAAACCAAAGTAGACTTGGATAATTTCCTTTTGAACTCATTGAATTGTTATTACGTTCGTATTTACAAAAAATTTCGCATCATAACTGTTCACCGCAACGTTGCAACAAAATCTCGAAGCCGAAATTAAACTGCGCGTCGCACAATGACAAACGCCACAGTAGTCATTATTTGCAGCATAATTTCGATTGAAAGCGTTTTTATTCTAATCGGGAACATTTTCACGATTTATGTGTTCTGGATTCATCGAACACGTTTGAAGCGAACCTCTTTTCTTCTCATAAACCTGGCCATCGCTGACCTCCTTGTTGGTGCTACTGAACCACTCGCCATTGGAACAGGGGCGATTCATCGGCACTTTCAAGGAAAGAAAACAGACGAAGTCCTCGTATCAAACCAAGATGACTTTTCGGCAATTATTCCTACAATGTTTTCGTGTTTGTCCTTGTTTTTTCTTGTTCTTATCTCTTTGGAACGTGCCTATGCCGTGATATGTCCTCTTCGCCATCGAGTCACCTCGAACAAATCTTACATTTGGAGTATTATTACTGTTTGGGTTCTTGGCGGTTTCGTGGGTGTGGTATTTTTATTAGATACGGCCAAGATGTGGGCTCATGAAATCACACAATACATTATTTGCTCTATGATATTTTCAGCTCTTGCCATAATCTGCTGCAGCTATATGACCATTCGGAATAAACTTTACTCCAGAGATGTTCCGGCTACCGATCGAAGTAGTCGAAATAACGCTGAACAAAACATAAGACTGTCGAAGACTTTGTGCATCGTAACAGCTGCCTCTTGTGTTTGTTGGTTACCGGGGAGCATTCTATACTTTGTGAACGCCGTATGTAAGGGTCGCATATCTATGGGTGCTCTCTATGCTGCAACACTCTTCAATATAGCGAGCTCATTTGTAAACCCAGTCATTTATAACTTTAGGATGCCTATCTTTAAAGGGCCGCTCAGTAAGTTGAAACCTAGAAGGACCCGGAATCACAGAAGAAACCCAAAGGATGGCGTAAAATGCCAAAACGATATAAACCAGTAGCAATGCTAGATTTCAAAGAAATTCCGTATAGTTAAGGATTGTACCATCCTCGATATAGTATAGAAAGAAAATCTTTAACGTTCGCAAAAAAAAGCATGCAGCTGTTTGAAGAATGGTTGTCGAAAAAAGCACAAATGCACACGACAATCCCGATAGGCATTGTGCATAGTTTTCAGGTTCTGGTTCCTTGACCTAACAGCGGGTTTTTTTTTTTTCTTCCCAAGAACGACTTTTAATCCTAAAGTTGATAAAAAACGAAAAAAATAACGAACCTGGTGACTCTAATGAACGACAAAAACGATGTCAACTCAACGAGAGCAAGTTCAAAATGACCTGAAGGAAAAACATTTACATCGCAATATTCTACTGTTTGTTTCCTCTCGTATCCACGCACATTTCGGTATTTATCCCATGTTCATTAATTTGTTTTTCCATTTTTATTTGTTTCACTTATTAAAACTCGTAGATTACCGCATACCCAGATTACCTTTGAGATTGTGGCCTGCACATTTCCGACAACCTTTCTGCAAACAGCTCAACTCTCCTAATTCAATGTTAGTTAACATTGCTTCCTAGAAACGTTCCAACAAATCTGACAGCCGAACCAAGGAGAACAAAACAAGGCTCTTAACTAAAAAAACATTTTAAATCTAAAAGGAAAGTAGATAGAAAACGTAGTAAACTAGCGGTGAAATCCAGAAAAAAAATTTTTTTTTCTATATGTTCATTAGTGACTGAAGGACGTTTCAGCGGAAACAAACAGCTCATTAGGAGATATGTACTGTCATTTCAGAGTGGGAAACCATGTAAATAAAGATAAATAGAATGCCCTGAAGAAAAGCCCACGGGAGGTTTTATTTTTGACATTTGCGTGATCAAGTACTGAGAAGATATCACTTCTGTACCCAATTGTTTGAGGAGATGGGGCTGTGCCATTCCCTGAGTTCTTTAAGGCAAAACAGAGACCTTTAGTATGCTCTAAAGCAAACTTGATTTTAAAGAGTATGCTTCAATGTAGACCAGAAGACTTTTCACCGGAATTGCTGTAAACTAATTATAAAAACAAAAACGAAAAAAGCCTTTTGAAAAGTTGTGTCCTATCTTGTTTTCGGATCAATATTTAATAACATGCTTTTGGTTGCTTTTACCTTAATGAATAGCACTCTTCATAATATAGCGGAGACGAAACATAGATCATTTATAATCAGTTGCAAGAAGGTAAATTACAATGCAATATTTTTGTCAAACCTCCTTGGGTTCTGTTGTTTATCTTTGTGTGTATGTGGGTGTGTTTGCACAGACAACTCAAGCTTAAATGTGGCCTGACTACAATCATATAGCGAATCTTACTTGAATCGAGGCGTTCGTACCAATCGTAAGAGTAGGCGAACAAAAAGCATTTGATAAACCATGAAAGTAAGCAAGGAAACTTGATAGGGATTATTCAACTATCCCTGTCAACTTAACTGGGAATAGGGAAAATATTTCTCAGACTTTTCGGCGAGGGTTATGGGGTATGCCGCCCTTCTCTATGAATCCTAACTCTGGTCCTGTCCAATGTCATTCTACACGCCTGTTTTTGGATCTGGCTCCTGTAAGAGTTGAGCCTTTTTTTAAATAAACCAGTAGGCTTTTTTGGAGTATAATGATTAGTGAAACACGGAAAGGTAAAATTTGCCCTTGAAGTCAGCTGGGCTACTTCTCTTTCCGTAACGCTTATTTGAAATTGAAAAGACAAATATGTTTAGACGCTCTGGTGATTCTAGTTCTGGAATACAAAATCCGCTATAAAGTGGTCAAACTGTCCTCCAGGTTTCAAACACAAACGACTTAAAAAACCGCCCCAGTGTAAGTGAACTTTATAGCCTGAATAGGGTAGCACGCCTCCAGAAGAGTGAGTCTCAATACAACCTCACATTATTAATCTTTTATGAAATTGCGTAATGCGATGTCCCATCCTATGAAATTGAGGTTGGGTACTCCGTGCTGTGTATAACAGTGGTGTTTTCATTAAAAAGGGAGGTTCGTTGTAATTGAGCGGATCAAAGTCATTTCAGAGTTGACACGGGTTTCGTGAGCCATGCCAAACCTGACAACTGCCATATTGTTTTTTGTCATAAATGCCATTCAAGCATTAACGATCTTAGCTGGTAATGCATTTGCCATGCACGTATTTTGTGCTCGAAGACGCTGCTTGAAGAGAACCGCTTTTCTCTTGATAAACCTGGCTGTGACGGACTTTCTTATAGGCGCTGCAACATTGGTGGAAATAATTTACCATGTGTCACAGGAAGAAACTATGAAGGGGATCGTTTACGACGAGCCAATCTCCGCGATTCAGATTTCTTTTTCGTCTTCGTCGTTGTTCTGCTTGGTAGGAATATCTTTAGAACGTGTTTATGCAGTACTCTGGCCGTATCGTCATCGAGCTTTGAGTAAAAAATTTTACATCGTGAACATTGCTTTAGCTTGGGTGGCTGGAATAACTATTGGTATAATTTACGCAATGGGCGAACTTGAAGTATTTCGTAAAGAATTTGGCATCGCTACCGAAGTAGTACTGTTGTGTTCATTAGCCGTTTTTGTTGTATCGTACGCAGCAATTCGCACCCGAATGAACAAAACTGTGCCGTCACTCAATGCTCACAATCGTCACACAGAGGAACAAAATATAAAATTATCCCATACATTGTTTATAGTTAAAGCTTTGTCTCTCTTACTTTGGGTTCCCGCCATAGTACTATACGGCATTCAAGTCATATGCAACGCTTGTGCAGTTGCTATCGCTAAGTTACCAATTGTCTCCAGTGCAAGAGTGTTACATTTGTCGAATTCTATTGTTAATCCAGTTGTGTACAGTTATCGGATGCCTATGTTTAGAGAAGAGATTAAAAAATGCCTGGAAAAAGTTAGATGTTACAAGAGCGACAACTCAAGTCAGTCTGGCCAGTTGGAATGTTTTGATACTCGTCTTTAATAAGCAGGTCTGAGGTGAAGTTGTTTCACAAAGACGTTTGATTGACGCTCTCTGTTTTTCCATGAGCGAGAAGGACTCTAAATGAGAGCCTTCATGTATGATTTTAGGGAAAGATTTAAGCGAGTGCTAAGAAAAGGTACACATACATTTAAAAAATCGTTCAGTTTACACATTCTAGTAGTAAGGGATGCTAGTCTACTGTTTTTTTTTTCTAAGCTCCATGGTAATAACTACAAAATTCACAAAGTTACCGACGATTGAGGAAGTATTTTTGGCATTTGCGCAATCCTCACGAAAAAAAGTGGTAGGAATGACGGCTATTGCGTTTTAAAATGAAAATTACGAGTTTTCCCGTTTGACATGATGATTGAGGACAACTAAGATGTCAGAACTAACCTCAATTTATTTGCACAAGTAGCAAAAAGTATTTAAAACAAGAACGTGGGAAATGGGGCAGATGTTATAATAGTCAGTGCTTGCAATTAATAGACATGAACAGTGCCGCCACAATATATATTTTATATTCTCATTCTGTTGAAAAACAACGACGACAACAACATGTGGGAACGCAGAGGCCTCTCTTCTTAAAACTATAAAGCTTTCCTAATACATCTTACACTGAATAAAAGATGCTTTATTTTTCAGGTAAATGAGATCAATTCTAACAGATCATGTGAATGTATATGGAAGAAATTTTGTCATATCTCTTTGCAGGGGACATATAAGGAAATTAAGGCAGAAGTTGTACAAAGATCACAGCAAGCCATTCATTCTATAAAGTCCTTTATCAATTCTACTTTCTATTCATACTGTCATTAAACTTTCTTGTTCTTACTTTCTTATGCATGGAATATTTTACTGAAAACATTAAAAACCCAATAATATCTACGAAGTGACTGTAATGAAGTTCAATTCTTGACCAATCAAAACTTTTGCCGCCTAGCTTGTCAGGTTGTGTTGAGTTTCAGTAACATTAATTCTCATCTAGTCTTATTGAAACAGGAAGACAAAAAAACAGTTATTGGTACAACTCATCCATTTTAAACTTTTAATCAGACGTGGAAATGGTGAACTCGTGAGTTAGATCAACTTCAGTTATAAAAGCAGTACCAGATCCTACTTTCGGCGAATTCTAACCACAGCAAGAGTGCAAATGTCTCAAACACTCTTTGTGCTGTTTTGTGTTCTGCTCTCAGTCGAAAGTTTTGTCATATGCATTGGAAATGCATTTGCTGTTTCTGTCTTTTGGCAGAAGAGGCTTACTTTACAACGAACCTCATATTTGTTGATCAACCTCGCAGTTTCTGATCTTCTAGTGGGCCTATGGGAATTGATATTAGTCGCTGCTCGACAGGTTCCATTCCTTTTCGGCGTGGATTTTAACACCATTTCTCTAAGAAACTTCATGGCGTCTTTGACTATTTTGTTCTCTTGTTCATCTAGTTTTTACCTCGATCGAGTAGCAATCAGTGAACGAACTTTCTCCGTTCTGAGGCCAATTCACCACCAAACAGTGAGCACAAGAGTTTATTTTGGCGCCATTGCCTTCGCCTGGACCGCTGGGGTCGCCACAACATTGCTCTATTTAATACCAGTTTTCTTTGCATCCGATAAAATGTCTTCAACAATAGTTGTAGGTGTAGTTTTCCTGATCTCTATAAGTCTTATTTGCGCAAGCTACCTGACTATATTCAGGTACTTGAAACGCAATCATCCACTCTATTGCAATCAAAACAGGAGTCATTTGGAGCGAAACAATAAACTTTCGAAGACGTTGTTATTCGTCATAGGTCTGTCGCTTGTCTGTTGCCTGCCAGGTTTATTTTTGTACATAGTGGCTGAGGTTTGTAGTGCTTGTACCTCGGCGCCAGTAATGCTAACAGGGAGAGTTCTACATCTCGCCAACTCTGCAGTCAATCCAGTTGCATATAGTTTCAAAATGCCCATATTTAAGGAAACTTTGAGGAGACTCTTTAGATTACAAGAGCAAAGAGGAAATGGATAAATACAACTTCATGTTAAGAAGAACCTGTAATTTTACTCAAGGAACTAGTTATGTCGCTTATAAATTTGGTTTTTGTGATCGGAATTCTGTGATAACACGATTACACCTAGTACATTATCTGGAGTTCTTTACTTTGCAGAAAGTGAGGGGGGAGGGGTCCTTTCAACGCGTTATCTTTATAAGATTCTCCAACTTAGGTGATATCTTGGGGGGCTGGGACCACGGCTTGATTGCTGGTCACACCTGTAGGCTAGGAAATTTTCACTGACGCATTATAAAGGTTGTAATGAGAGATCTAGTTGGTTACTCAATCAAGAAGCGGGTAACAGGTGCTTCGTTTTCGTCTTAGTTTCCTTTGCAATGAAAAGTCAATGCACGAGTTAATACTAACTCATTCGTTATATGTTAAATTAAATTGAGAAAAAAAAACTCATTAGGAATAAAATAGGATATGAATGATTCATTGTTATTTAAAGCATCGTTTGAAATGCTTTAAAACAACATTAGCTCGTTCAAACATAATTAAAACTTACATGGAATTGGTATTTTGGTTCCACTGTATGCATGTTCTGTGTCATTGTCCGTGGAAAAGCGGAAATTAACAAAAATAATTATAAGAAACTCATTTGGACAGCATTGTTTACGGCCTGGTAGAAATTTATGCACCTTATCAAAGGTTTCCTTTCCTTTTTTTTCGTTGTTGTTTTTTTTTTTAAGAAATTGTAATTCATTAGAATACTAGTCGCTGTAGGATCCATTTGAAGTAGGGGAGAGAACGTTGGAAGAAAAGACTAAAAAACAGCTGCGAAGGAGACTATACTTCACTCTGCCCATGAAATGGAAATTTCTGCAATATTGATGTTTTCTGTGGTATTTTTCCTTGAAGGAGTGTTCATCCTTACGGGAAACATTTTTTCCATTTTTGTTTTCTGGAAACATCGAGCTAAACTGAAACGAACTACATATCCTCTAGTGAATTTGGCTGTCGCGGATATTCTAGTAGCAGTCGAAATTTCATTTCTTGTGTGTAGCGAAATAAAATATCTCGCCACGAAGAGAATATCCCAGGATGATTGGTTGTTAATCACGAACTTTGCCTTAGATGGGTTTTGTGGGGTGGCTTCGTTGCTTAGTTTATTAGTAATAGCTTTGGAGCGTCTTTATGCAGTTCACTGGCCCTTCCGTCACCGCACATTAAAAACTAGAAGTTATACAGCCACTATTTTATTGATATGGATAATTGCAGCAGCTTCTGCTTACTTATACCTGGAGACAATCTATAATTTTTTCCAACTGAAATTTGTTTGTTCCCTCATGTTAGTCTTCATAGTTGGTTCTGCGCTGGTTGTCATCATTGTGGCATGCAATCTCATCTATACGCAAACACGTCGGAATAATCCCGAAGGTTTTAATGAGAGACGAGCTCAGCAGAACAAAAAATTGACGAAGACATTGTTTATCATCACTGTACTATCGATAGTATGTTGGCTTCCTGGAATAATCCTTTCGATTCGTGTTAACTTCATTGACGATTTGATTACTCTTAAGGTCATCTTGTTAGTAAAAATGATTCAGTTCTTCAATTGTGGTGTGGACCCGATAATCTATACTTTTCGTATGCCTCTAGTTAAAACAGAACTCATGAAAATATTTTCTAAATTCTCGCCCAAGAGGAAACAGAGACATGATGCGACTCGTATACAAGAGATGGCAGTGGCAACCCTTTGGCGAACAACAGGTGTTGAAATAAGTTTACAGAATTTTGAGACAAGGCTGTAAACAGCCCTGAAAAAATGCATTTGAGGACCAAGCATTGGTTTTGGAACTGACATACGCTAACGAGGAGCACTTATTGATTTGTGATGAATATTTTCAGTAAATTTAACCTATTTTTTACCGTGGTAATCTCCACAATAGAAACGAGGAAGGGGAGGAGAATAGCTGATTTAGCGCCTGTTGCCTTCCTTTTACTGCAGCAAAACTGTCTCTTACATGCAAATTTTTGTCAAAACATATTTATTTTGGGATGTGTTTTATTCTGGCGAAGTGGCAAATAAAGATTTCGTTTGACTTGATGGATAAGAGTATCTTCATCAATTGATTTCCCTCATGAAGTTCCTTTTGTAATATATAAATTTCATGATACCAATGCTTGTGTTTACATCAACAGTTTTCTACTCAGTGTGTAATTTTACGGTTTTTAGTTTTTAAATTTTCAATTTGCAAGGGAAGAACGTTCAGGTAAATAACTAGTTGAAGGCTGTTTGTGTCCGCCATAACAATGAAAGGCCTCAAGCCTGACTAGTTGCTCGGTAAATGGATAAGATTTCAATTCCAATTTTCCACCAAGTTGGTTTGAATGTAATCACGTTCATTATCTTTAATCAAACACCTTTTTATTTTCTTTCAAATCATTTGCAAGTGGATTTTGTTTTCCTAAAGAAGAACTTATTAAGTTCATGCAAATCAGGCCCGCACGACTCATTTGGGAAGATGTAATTTAAGAACCGGAGTAGATTTCCAATTAATTGCAAAGATTGATGAGTCCAACTTTATAAATACTGCACATGAAAGGAGCAATTGCTGTTTGCTAAAAACGTGCCAAGCTTGAAAACAGGCACAGCACAGAATTAAATTTATATTTATTGCCAAAAGAAAACCCCAACACCTTTCTGCTAGTGGAAATGTCTTTTACCACAATAGTGTCATACGCCTTTTGTGCGATTTACCTGCTAGAGGCATTTTTTGCCCTTCTGGGTAATATTTCAACCGTCTTTGTTTTCTGGAAACATCGGCGCGAGTTAAAACGAACCTCTTATCTTCTGGTGAACTTAGCTTTCGCTGATCTTTTAATGGCAATCAGTATTTTGCATGTGGTTGGTAATGGAATACGATATCTGGCTACACACGAGGTATCTGAATTCTTCAAGTTCAAAATTTGCAATGCATTTGATTCTTTCTGTGCATTTGTTGCATTAATCAGCTTACTAGGGATGACATTAGAGCGTCTTTATGCAATTCGCTGGCCTTTCCGCCATCTAAAACTGAAGACCAGAAGTTACATCAACGGCGTTGCATCTGTGTGGATACTGGCAGGAGTAATGTTCATTTTTGACTTTCTGTCAGTTTTTTTCCACGCTGACAAGATTTATCTTTCCATGGCTTCTTCCATAATTGTGTCATTGGAAGCTGTCTCAGCCCTAGTGATCACCTGTGCTTCATACGTACTCCTTCGCCAACGAACTCGTCAGAATATTCCCGGAATTCGAGCGCAACAAAGCAAGAAATTAACTAACACGTTGTTAATTGTAACTGTTGTTTCTGTCTTCTGCTGGCTACCTGTAATAATATATAGCACTGTACTTAACATGCTTTCAATTACTGATGTATTCAGTGACTTCTCATACCTTGCTTTACTCACTGTAAAGGCTTTGCAATACGCGAACTCCGTGGTAAATCCTATACTTTATGTCTTTCGGTTACCTATGTTCAAATTAGAGCTTCACAAACGCTGTTCGAAGTTTTTTCCACCAAAGGAATTTGACGACAACATGGTTCCCAATCAAGAGAGTGTCGGAGATTCCATACAACGAACAATTAATCAAGGGAATGTCAGAGTTCCTGCTCAACGAACAAATAGGGACATCATTATTTCACGTTACTTTGATACTAAGCTATGACTTCTTGCTTTCTAGATGTAGGCTCAGATTTGATGGCAGACGACTTCGCTAAGCTTAGTTTTACTTATCAGATATCCATTTAGTAATAATGGTGCGGTAGATTTAGTTTGAGATGAGCCTCCGGCCTTTAAGTCACAGTTCTACATACTTCTCTCACCCAATCGATTGTACTGAGGAGAACAGGACTCTACTAAGCTAAGGATGGAGAAAACTAACACGGACTATACAAACTAGTGAGAAAATTCAGGATAAAATTCGTAGAGTACATAAATAATGACGGAGCTTGCGCCACTGGTTTGAAGTTGTCTTTTGGAGCCATAAGTTTGATGTAAGGTACAAAGAGTGTCCTTTTTCTATTTCGGCGATTGGCGACTTCTGATTCAAATTTATTGTGGGATCATACAGGCTCAGTGGCCAAATTGTTCCCAAGGTGAACACCCTGTTAAAAAAACCCGGGTTTAAGCCCTGAAGGCTCAGCGCGTTCTATTCCTAAGCAATACGACACGACACTCACGTTCTACAGTGCATCTATCCAGCCACAAATATAAATGAGTACAAGTTCAAAGCTTTGGGAAACTTGTGGAACAATTTAGAGTGGAGGGAGTACTTATAAATTGACATCCCTCAAGGAGGAGTAGCAAACTCCCTTTCGCTTTATGCAGCGGAAACCGAGATATACTTTGGCACCGTGTAGTATAACTAAAAACTCATGAAATGTTTCAATAAAATTGTAAAGGCACAGTTGAAGAAGAGACGACTGTCTAACTCTACCAACTAGGCATGATTTAAACCCGGCTAAAGTACGAAGAGAAAAAAAAACATTTCGAGTTGAAATCAACATTTACCTAAGATATATGAAATATGACCTTTTGGGTGTCTACATCATTTAGAGTCCAAACGTGACTATCTTAACACCAGGTGGGATCTAGCACAAAAGGGGTTTTCTTTGTGGGGCTGAAGATTATTACGTTTGTAAATGTAAATACTTACAAAACAACTTCAGTTTATTAAAAGCAAGCGTATTTTGCATTAGTAATTACAATTTTCAAAGATTCTCTTTTTTCGAATACTTCAGTTTCACAGCAGTGTTAGTCGCACATGTCCTCTTCATGGTATCTTCCAACTACTAAGCTGTTATAGTCTTTCTTTTCACATGTCTCTTGAACTGGCTTCTCGTTATAAACAGAAAAAACAAATACAGGAATGTTCTGTTTTCATATAAATTGATATCACTGGCACTTTTTTTCTAACAACAGCTTTTTACTAAGAATCTATTTACTTCATTGTTTTCTAAACGAGATGACTTGCTTGCATAAAAGCATTATAGTTTCGTATCGTGAAATTCTAAATTAATAACTTTCTGTTTGCTTGGCTTAGAGCGTACACCTATTTGTTGATCTACACCGATGACTGTTTCCGTTGCCCCAAAGATTTTAATCAAGCACTCCTTGATTTCTGACTTGAACAATGGCATTCGAAAGCTGTAAACTATGGGATTGATAAGGGAGTTCCCGTATTGCATGATCTTGAAGAAACGAATAAGATTGTGTGACGAGTGAGTTAAGTTCAATGAATTCGCAGTGTAGTACTTTGTGTAATCGATAGCTAGAGCTATGACGATAGAAGGAAACCAACAGGCGAGGGAGGAAAACGTGACAATGCAGAGAGTCTTGCTCAATTTCTTGTTTTGTTGTATGCGTCTCAGGTGGAATCCGTCGGGAATATTCTGTTTTGTTTGCAGGTAAATAAAGAAATATCCTACACAGATGAGAATCAACACAAACAAGAAAATAAAGACAGTAATATAATAAATCACTCTGCTATATTCAACAAAGGCCAACGAAAAACACGCAAACGCGAGGACAAGGACAGCAATAATCCACAAAAAGACGAGACTGTAGATATAGGCTCTGGTGCTCAAAGTGCGATGACGGAAAGGCCAGCGAACTGCGTAAAGGCGCTCGAATGATATCAACAATAAACTGAGCAGTGAGGTTGTTTCAAAGAACGTGTCCCAAATCATGAAAAAGATAAATTGCCATTGCTTTACCTCATAATAATTCCCTTTAGCCAGGTTTCGCACTTCGCAGCCCAAAGCGATTAAAATGCTGATTGCCACTAACAGATCTGCAAAAGCCAAATTCACCAGAAGATATAAAGTTCGTTTCAACTCCGCTCGATGCTTCCAGAAAACAAAGATGGTGAAAATATTACCCAGAAGGGTCAACAGACCTTCCAAGAAATATATTACGCCGAATATTACTGGTAAAGTAGTCTCCATCCTCTGGGATGAGTTTCCTTTGCATACGAAAGATTGATTTTTGTTCTCTTATCATGGGTGTGGTAGGGGATGGCATTGTACTATTAAAGTGGTACTTTCTAAACTGCTGATGCCCGAGCGTTAGGCCATTTGTTCGTAATGGAGCCACCCTTATTAACACTTGAAAGACATATGCAATCTAATTCACTACCCGTTTCCCTTTCTTCCGTTTGTCAGCAGTAGACACAATGCAATTTCTGATAATAAAAATGTGAGTTTACATTTCTTGTCCTTATAACGTCCTTTGACGAACAATAGAAGTGCTTTTAAGCGCTACAAGACTTCAATAATTAAAATTATTTTGGTGTTCTTTACGGGGTAAAATAAACCCGGGAGGTTGTCACTTCAGACTGAGCTGTAAAACCCTTTTTTTTCTTAAAGAAAGCGTGTGTATATTTCATGTATATAACCGAACCTGTTAATAATTACGCCTTTTCCCTCAAATATGCAACTAACAGGAGTCTTAAGAGGATATTTTCTTGACGCAGCATCACTTTCAGAACCAACTACTTAAAATACTTTTTCACTAATAATAAAACTCTGGAAGGCTGCTGAGCATTGACACAAAAAGGGTTATGCAATAAATCATGGTTAACTGCATCCAGAAGAGCAGACATGGAGAAAAATTACAATTTGGTTTCACAGTGTTGCATATCACCTTCTCCTTGAACATCTTCCTCACAGACCTGTGTTACTATCTCGAGGTTACGATTCTCAATCCGATTTTCATTTCTACGGCAACGTTTAGAAAAGCATTCCTTGATTTCAGACTTGAATATTGGCATTCGAAAGGTGTAAACTAAGGGGTTTACAATTGAATTTGCTAATTGAAAAATCTTCAGGACGCGATATTCATCAAATGTGCTGATGGCATATTCAGGGCCGTGCGCATGAACAACAAACACCATCACAGTACCTGGCAACCAGCAGATGAGAGAAAGAATTGTAACAATCAATAAAGTATTGGTTAGTTTCTTGTTTTGCCCGGCACGTTTCTCGCTCACACCTTCAGGTACATTTCTACGCATCTGAACGCAAATGAGAATATTTGCTACACAAAGGACCACCAAGAAGACGAAAAGTACTGGAGCTAAAATAAAGACAACAACGTTACTTTCATGGTAGAGAAAAGCGAAGAACATTGCAGACATTAAACCTGATGTTATCCATACAAATGCAACGCTGTAGATGTAGCTTCTGGTGCGTAAAGTACGGTGACGGAAAGGCCAGCGGACTGCATAGAGGCGCTCCAAAGATATCACCAGTAAACTGAGCAGAGAAGATCCTTCACAAAACACGTCCCAGGTGAAAAGAGTTAAAAACTCCTCTAATGTTGAAAGTTCATTAGTGATAAAAATTTTAACTTGACTGCTTAAACCAAGTGAAATGCCGACAACCACAAAAAGATCGGCAAGAGCTAAATTTACGAGAAGATATGATGTTCGTTTCAGCTTCTCCCGATGCTTCCAGAAAACAAAAATGGCTAAAATATTTCCCAGAAGTATAAGCACTCCTTCCAGTAGATAAATCACAAAAAATGTCGCTGATACAGGAAATGTTTTTTTCAACGCCGAGACGTCTGTGACATCCATCTTGTTCAGACTTCTATAATGGGGCGAAAGGTTCTGGCATTTGTGAACAAGAAGTAAATCTCTTCTTGTCTGTGGACTTGTTCACTCGCAAGTGGATATTGTTTTGAAATCGAAATCAGACATTTACTTTTGTCTCTTGATCAAAAAACTCGCTTTACCCGGGATGTTGTGAGGAGGTAAGAGAGTTACCCTTTCTACAAAATCATTCCATTTATCCTGAATTCTGGATCAGACCGAACCGGGAAAACTTTCCAGAAACATTTCGCTGTTTTTATGCAAATGATCTTAGTTCTATTTAAAGTCAAAACCTTTTAATATTTGTTTAGCTTAGAGTGTACATTGTTCAAGGTTATAATGTCTTGAAAAGCGCGCCTTTAATTAAGAAAATATAATTTACTGCGAGGAAAAGCCGAAATTATCATTGTTATTTTTATGAGTACTGAGGATGGAGAAAAAACTGTAAGCAAAATTTGTTTCCAGTTTCTTTTTCCATACTCAGATTGGTTTGAAAGCAAAATACGAGTTATTAAAAATAATAAAGTTGCATTGGTACTGGATGGTTTTATTTCATCGAGTTCATTTGAAATTACTTGTTGTGTGTCAGTTGACTTTGCATGACTGACAATAACAAACAGAACAACGCTTACCATATTGGCGTTCGCAGATGACTATGATGTTCCTTATTCTCTCTCAAATGAAAGTTATACCCAAGGATGATTAGAGGACAACAACGTCTCGCGCTAACCGTGCTTGGTATGGAGAAACTGCGGAGATGTTAAAATACTGTCCTTTTTTGGATATCATCTTGTTTATGATAAGCAAACTTACTTCAAGTCAATTAATTGGAACTCCGGCGTATTAATTATCAGGAAACTTCTTAAAAGCTTTTTGTTGAATATGCTTCAGTTTTATCATGAGATATCTTGATTAAAAACTGACTTGCCAATTACTATACATCTGTTATTTATGGTGTAGGAATGATAAAATATTGAAAGCAACTCAAACGGGGTACATCTTGACTGAACTCAGCTAAACATTGTAAAGTAAATTCCAATTTCAAGCAAAAATGGAAATTTTGGCAGCGGTGATATTTTGTGCGGTTTATTCTTTGGAAACCGTGTTAATATGTCTGGGAAATATTTTTATAATCTTTATCTTCTGGAAACACCGAGCAAAGTTAAAACGAACTTCGTATCTCCTTGTGAACTTGGCTTTCGCTGATCTGTTTGTGGCCATCAGCAGTTTATACTTCCTCAGCTTTGAAGTACGAGATGTAGTTGAAGATTATTATGAAAAGATACAGCGATGGGAATTTGCTACTTTGACAAGCTGGGATGTGTTTTGTGGAGCATCCTCGTTGCTCAGTTTATTAGTGATAGCATGTGAACGTCTCTATGCTATTCGATGGCCTTTCCTCCATCGAGCATTGAGCACGAGAACTTATATCTACAGTCCCGTGTTTGTATGGATTACTGCTGGGCTTGTTAGTGTCTTTTACCTCACAATGTTCACGGTCCTCCCTGAAATTAGCCACATAATTTCCGTTGTAAGCACTCTTTTTATCCTGGTTGTGTTGATTCTTATTTGTGTGGGATATCTGCTGATATGCTTGCATGCACGCCATAATATTCCCGAGGGAGTCAACGAGCTGAGGAGAGCGAATCAAAACAAGAAATTAACAAAAACGTTGTTGATTGTAACGGTTATTTCCCTCGTCTGTTGGTTTCCCTCGATTGTTCTGGCTATAGCTTACGATTACACAAACCATTATCCGTGGAGTTCATTTAACTTGAGCGACAAAACTCATAATGTTCTTCGCTTTTTCAAGGTCATGCAATGCGGAAACTCTCTCGTAAATCCTATAGTTTACAGCTTTACAATGCCGTTTTTTAAATCAGAAATTAAAGAGCGCTTTTCTAAACTCACTCGGGTAAAGAACACTGACTCAGTCAGCCAAAATAAAAGAAAAGGGGCACTCTCGAATCAAGGCAGACAGGCAAACGTTGATCAGGCGTTCTTTGAAACGAAACTTTGATAATCTACAAACGAGCCATTGACCCTCTCATTTGTAAAAGAAAACATGTCCATTAAAAAAAAACAAAAAAACAGCGAACTTGTCAGTTTTTAGATTCTATTTCATTTATTATAAATAATAAATTGTTTACTGGAAAATCTCCGCGAGATAAAATAAATATGATAACATTCAATCTTAGTTTAACTCTTAGTTATTCAACAGTTGTATTTAAGTCGTAATCAACTTTACTTCTTCATGCACTTTAAATCCAAACTCCTATTTTTATTTTGAAAATTTGCAAACGT